TTTTCATTTTCATTTGTTTCAAGTTATCTTTTGATTCCTTCCTTGATCTCACTCTTAGCCTTTTCATTGTTCTGTAACATGTTACTTAGCAGCCATGCGTTTGTGTGGTTTTCAGGGTTTTTTTTCTTGTAGTTGATTTCTGTTTTCATACTATTGTGGTCAGAGAAGATGCTTGGTATACTTTCAGTCTTCTTAAATTTATTGAGACATGTTTTGTGGCTTAACATGTAGTCTATCCTAGAAAATGTTGTGCACTTGAAAAGAATATATATTTTGCTGCTTTCAGGTAAAATACTCTAAAAAATATATAAATTAAATTCATTTGGTCTAATATGTCATTTAAGGCTGCTTTGTCCTTCTTGAGTTTCTGTCTGGAAGATTCATCCATAGATGTCAATGGGGTGTTTAAGTCCCCTATTGTAACTGTATTATTGTCTGTCTCTTTCTTTATGTCTATCAATGTTTGCTTTATATATTTAGATGCTCCTGTGTTGGGAACATAAATGTTTACAAGGGTTATATCCACTTGTTGGGTTGATATAATGGACTTTGTTTTAAAGTCTATTTTGTCTGATATAAGCATTGCTACCCCAACTTTTTTTGTTGTTTTGCATGGAATATTTTTCTCCATTTCCTTTCAGTTTATGAGTCTTTCAATCTGAAGTGGGTCTCTTAAAGTAACTATTGATAGTACACAGTTATCATCATTGTATTATTTATATTTAAAATCTTTTTCTTCTTCCTCTTCTTCTTCTTTCTCCTTCTGCTCCTCCTCCTCTTCTTCTTTCTTCTTCTTTCCTCTTTTTTCTTCTCTCCTCTTCTCTCTTCTTCTTCTCCTTCTTCTTCCTTCTTGCTTCTTCTTCTCCTTCTCCCTTTTTCTTCTTTCTGCTTCTTGTCCCTTTAACATTTCTTATAATACTGGTTGAGTAGCTTTTACTTATCTGGGAAGGTCTTTGTCTCTCCTTCAGTTTTAAGTGAAAGCCTTTCTGGGTAGAGTAGTCTTTAGGTCCTTGCTTTTCATTTGTATCACTTTAACTATTTTGTGCCAATCCTTTCTGGCCTGAAAAGTTTCTATTGAGAAATCATCAGACGGTCTTAAGGGAGCTCCCTTGCAGGTAACTAACTGCTTTTTTCTTGCTGTTTATAATATTTTCTCTTTGTCTAACCTTTGGTATTTTAATTTACAATGTATCTTAGTGTGGGCTTCTATGGGTTCATCTTGTCTGGGACTCTGCCCTTCGTGGATTTGTATGTCTTTTTTCTTTGCCAGGTTAGGGAAGGTTCCAGTCATTATTTCTTTAAATAGATTCTCAATCCTTTGTGCTCTTCTTCTGGTACCCCTCTGATGTGAATGTTGTTATGTTTAATGTTGCCCCAAAGGTCCCTTGAACTATCCTCATTTTTCTTTATTCTTTTTTCTTTTTGCTATTCTGATTAGGTATTTTCTATTACCTTATCTTCCAAATTGCTGATTTGATCTGCTGCTTGATCTAATCTGCTGTTGATTCCTTCTAGTGTATTCTTCATTTCTGACTGGTTCTTCTTTTATGATTTCTATATTCTTTTTTATGCTTACTATCACTTTGTTAAAGTTCTCACTGAGTTCATTTATTCTTCATCTAAGGTCCTTGAGCATTCTTATGACCAGTGTTTTGAACACTGTATCTAGTAGATTGCTTTCCTCCATTTCATTAAGTTCTTTTGATGGATATTTCTCCTGTTCTTGTATTCTGGACATGTTTCTTTGTCTCCTCACTACCTTTTACGTTTGTTTCTATGTATTAGGTGTATACTAGTATGCTACATCTCCCAGTCTTGGCAGGGTGGCATTATATTGTAGATGTCCTGTGGAGCCCAGTGGCACAGTCTTCCTGATCACTTAGCAGGTGCTTTAGGAGTGTTTGTGTGAGTTGGGTATGCTCTCTGTTGTAGTTGGGCCTTGATTGCTATTGACATGCCAGTGGGTAGAATTGAACCTCAGGCTAACTGACTGTAAGGATTGGCCACGGCCATAGCGTACAAGCTACTGTACAGGGGCTAACTCGATGGAGTAGGATTTGCCCCAGTGGGGTCTGTTGCCTGCCAATATCTTATTTTAGGTGTGCTACTTGTGGAGCTAACCCGGTGGTGTTCTGTTGTGGTCTGATGCCAGCCAACAAGTATGTTGGTTCTGGGGCCTCTTGGGAGGGACTTTATTGCAGGTCAATGTCAAATGCTACCTGTGACTGGCCCAGCGCTACTTATTAGGAGCTTCAAAATGATCTGCCATTGGTAACTGCCTGTGCTGAGCCCGGATGCTCATGGGAGGGACCACACTGAGAACCAAGGCTGGCTACCACCAGTACCGGGCCTGCGGTAGGTCTGCAAAAGGCCCCAGGCACCCCAAGACCTCCCATAAGATTCAGCTGATGAAAGAGCCTGCGGTGGTATGCAAGTTGGGTTGTTGCAGGATCTCAGGGAGTCACCAGGGTTAGCCCCAGATCTGGGCCTGAGGCCACTCAGCAAAAGTCTCAGGGTACACCAAGGCCAGCCACCACCCACCTGGGGCCTGCAAACCTTTGCAGTAGGACAAAGTCTCCAGTAGTCATCAAGCTGGAACTAGTGGAATTCACCAGGCTAATGCAGATTCAGATTTGGCCATGTGGAAAGAGGGCTCAACACAGCTGTCCCTCCAGCACTCACCCTGAAGCCATGCAACACAGTTTTTCTTTCTATGTGTCTGGCACCGCACCACCCCCTGAACTGGACAGAATTCCTTGAGAGGTTTTAAGAGAGACTGCAAAGCAGACCCAGGCTTGTTGCTGCTGAAAGAGCCTCCAACCACATCTCGAGTTGGCTACGATAGGGTCTCAGGGAGTCCTCAGACTAGAGTCAGTACTATTCACCAGGCTAATGCAGATTCAGATTTGGCCATGTCAGGGGAGGGCTTACCCCAGGAAATTCGATGCCCTTAGGCCATGCAGGATGGGGCTCAGCACAGAGACAATGGCAGCCGTTCCTCCAGCCTTGTCCTAAAGCAGTGATGGTGAACCTTTTGAGCTCGGCGTGTCAGCATTTTGAAAAACCCTAACTTAACTCTGGTGCCGTGTCACATATAGAAATTTTTTGATATTTGCAACCATAGTAAAACAAAGATTTATGTTTTTGATATTTATTTGATATATTTAAATGCCATTTAACAAAGAAAAATCAACCAAAAAAATGAGTTCGCGTGTCACCTCTGACACACGTGTCATAGGTTCACCATCACTGTCCTAAAGCCACACTACTCAGTTTCTCCCTGTACATCTCTGGCACCTCCCTGAGCTTGACCAGAATTTCTCCAAAGTTTTTTAAGAAAGACTGCAACGCAATTCTAGGCTGGTTGGTTCTGAGAGAGCCTCAATATGTACAAGTTGGGTTAGGGGAGAGGGTCTCAGGGAGTCATCAGGGTGGAGCTAATGGAGTTCACTAAGCCAGTGTAGATTTAGATTTGGCTGTGTGGTGGGAGGACTCAACACAGGGACAATGGCAGGAGTCCCTCCAGCTCTCGCCCAGAAGCCACACAACTCAGTTTCTCCCTGTTTGTCTCTGGTGGACTTCTTCATCCTCTGTCTTCTTTGGAGCCGAGCCCATCGTGAGTACCTGTGAGCGAGAGTTTGTGCACTGGCCCTTTAAGAAGATGCCTGGGTTCCCAGCACCAATTCTGTCTCATCCCAACAGATGGAATTCCCACTGATTGTCACAGACAGATGTTATGTGGACTCCTCTTCCTGACACTGGTGTTCTGGGCTGGGGGACCAAGCATGGGGCCCAGTCCCCTCATTCCTCAGGGGAAACCCTCTGTAGCTAAGATAACCCTCCAGATTCTCAAGCACCACACATGTGAGAGCCAGCCCACTTCATTTCTCCGCCCCTCCTGCCAATCTCTACATGGCTGCTTCTTTATATTCTTAATTATAGGACTTCTGTTCAACTAGTCTTCAGATGGTTATCCAAGTTGCTTGTTCTATAATTTAGTTGTAATTTTGAAGTGGTCATGTTGAGGAGTGAGTGCAGTGCCCACCTACTGTGCCTCTTAATCAGAACCTCCACAAAAATGCTTTTTTGTTACCCTGATTCTATTTATTTCCTCTGAGAAAACCAAGCAGTCATATGAAGAAGCTACATGGAGATGTTCCAACCAGTAGCACCAGATGAAATTCCAGATGACAGCCAATATCAACATATGGCCTTTTTTAGCTGACTATACCAAAATGTGAGCAGAGAAGAAGAAAAAAAAAAAACTACAATAACATGGAAAGAAATCTATAAAAGAGATAGGACCCTTTAAGTTAAAAATAAAACTGTTTCCCATTTTTTTCCAGATGGCAGAAATTCTGCAAGTAAAAAAAGTAAAAGGTTTCCATCATATTAAAAGTACCTTAAATAAAAATGTTTTCTCCTTCAGATTGTTTTTTGTGTCTTATTTTGGCATTTTGAAGATTTATAAATTATAAAATGAGTTGAGGTAAATTTAACTTCATTTATCAGTTTTTAAGGCCTATTTTCCCCATATAATTGACCCTACACAAATTCTATATTTAAGAATATAAGAATAACTGATTTCCTCACAGAGAAAAAGTCAGTAAACAAAGCATCTAGTATAAATTATTATAGATTTCTTTTTTTAAGTATAAAAATTACAATAAGTTCTAATTTTTAGTTTTTTTAATTTACAGTTAAATTAGTAATGTAAGATTCATACTGGTATTTGATACATGGGAATTGTCTTTTAATTGATTAAATGTGATACGAACTTTGAAATAACATATGTGAAAATTCAAATTCAGCCAGTACTAATTTATGGTACATTTAGAAGATTATTAATTTTTGAAATACGCATAATGGGCAAATTGTTACTCTCTTAAGGTTCTAACCACCTTTAACCAATTATAGGTCAGGTTACATATTTAATACTTTAAGTGGCTTAAGTTTTTAGAATATAAAATTTAAATTTATTTCTCTTTTTCTTTCATCAGAATACAGTCGTTTTGAAGCCAAAATACATGACTTACGGGAGCAAATGATGAATAGTAGCATTAGTTCAGGATCAGGTTCTCTTCGAACAAGCCAAAAGCGATCCCTCTATGTCAGGTAATTTTTTTTTTTAATTCTAATTATGGCAAGTCTTAATTATTTATGAATGTAAATTCTTTCAGGATTTTCACTATTACTGACTTAGTTTTGCTATAGAAAAATAAATTGCAAACCAAGGAAAATTTTTTTACGGTTGATTTCCTGATCTTTCAAGAATTGGAATATTGTTATAATTTAATTAGTGATATTTATATAACCCCTTGAATAAAAATAGTAAAGAAAAACAAAATAAACATGGACGAAAAAAATTTTAAGGTGGTTATTTTACTGAATCAGTATTGTAGCTTGATGTGTCATATCATCCAACACTAATATTTACCTATATTCTTTTATAATAAAATATTCTTCATTTGAGTAACAATTACCTTGGCAATTTTTATAATAGCAAAGAGAGCATATATAAATAATAGCTTCAAATGTGAATAATACCAGCAAAAGAGTACAGATTCAGGAAATTTCTACATGCATTTTTTAAACACTTGGGAGAAAATCATTTTTCTATAACAAGATTAATGTGGCAGCATAAATCTAATAATATTATATTGATATCATTAGTACATAAATTGTTCTTTTGCATTTCTTTGGCTAATACGACAAATATAGATATACTGTTTATTTGTATTTTGTATCCTTTTTTAGTATAGCCTTTACTTAGTACTTTATTATACTACCTAAGCCAGCAGTCGGACATCCTTAGTGCTGCTGCAGAGGCAGGAAAGGCTCCTGCTACCATCGCTGCACTGGCCAGCCATGAGCCCGGCTTCTGGCTAAGCAGCGCTCCCCCTGTGGTAGCACACTGACCACCAGGGGGCAGCTCCTGCATTGAGTGTCTTCCCCCTGGTGGTCAGTGTGCATCATAGCGACCAGTAGTTCTACCATTCAGTCAATTTTCATATTAGCCTTTTATTATATAGGAATTGTTTTAACTTTAGATAATTACTACAAGTAGTCTGTATTATTCTGTGTAATTATTCTCTCATTTCTTTTGGTTATATTGGGGAGCCTATTTCTAATATGTTTTATTCTTCTGATGAGAAATGAGATATATGACATAAAATATACATGTATCCTATATATGTTTGGGTATGTATAAATATATCAATACAAACAAGCATGTACTCTATACTTGTTTATATATGATGTGACTTATTGTCTCAAAGAATTTTATTCTATGATACATAATAAAAGAAAGCTTTTTTCACTTTCTTCTCATGTTCTATTCCTACCCCTTTCATTCCTTCTACCCTGCCAATGATCTGGAATTCCTAAATGTATCAAATTGTTCTCTCTTTCCACTAATTCTAGCAGTATTTATTAAACTCTTCTGATCCAAAATTGTTAAAAGTATTTTATATGTAGATACCCACAAAAAATGTAAAAATACAGATTTGTGTTTATATTCTTTTTTCTTTTTCTTGCTTATCTATATTTTCTAAGTTTAATGTAATTAACAGGTGTTACCTTTAATATCTGATTTAATAAAAACATAAAATTAAAAACATTAGGTTATATTTGTTTTAAGTACATTAATGAGTCATCTTCACTTTTTATTAATTTTTACTTTTAGAGAATACTTTATTTTTATTAATTATATCAGATTTATAATGAAAAATAACTGCAACTGCCCTAACCGGTTTGGCTCAGTGGATAGAGCGTCGGCCTGTGGACTGAAAGGTCCCAGGTTCAATTCCAGTCAAGGGCATGTACCTTGGTTGTGGGCACATCCCCAGTAGGGAGTGTGCAGGAGGCAGCTGGTTGATGTTTCTCTCTCATCGATGTTTCTAACTCTCTATCCCTCTACCTTCCTTTCTGTAAAAAATCAATAAAATATATTTTTTAAAAAAAAGAAAAAGAAAAATAACTGCAACCTCCCAGCAATCCCTAGAATTTCATTCCCTAAAACAGTCATCCTCTGTTTTCCTAACAAATTCCCTTGCCTTTACCTCCAAATCTATATATATAAAAAGCCAGCAACCAGAACACCATAATGACCAGAAGGACCAGTCGCTATGACGCCCATTGCGGCCAGAGAACCTGGCCTGATCAGGGTTGGGGCTGGCTAGCCAACCCCCTCACAGCCCTTCTCCCCAGCCAGCCCCTCCC